CTGAGCGATTGACGATACGTCAATAAATACACAAGAGGCTAAAATATTATTCATTAACAATGATGGCTGCTGTTATATCAGTACAAAGGTTACAAAGGGAAAGTCAATACGGAATTATAAAAAGAAAAAGTTAAGGCATTATATGTCTTAATTACAATTCGCCCCATACCGAACGAATTCTTTCCCTAAGTTTCCCCCAGTCCTCGTTCTGTCAAGAAGAAGTGATGTTCAATTCAGCCACAACATCATCATCAACTTTTAACTTCTTGTACTGCTCGACTAAAGACTTAGTTCGCTCAATTCCTTGGAAGGCATTACGCTTTTTAGCAGCCATTCTCGCCTTGCAGTCGTCCATCTTGGCTTGAAGCTCCTTCATCTGAGCAGTCAAACTAGTCATCAAAGAGTCTTCAATCATGACTTCGGAAGAGATTTCTTTCAACTCGTCCTCAACTTTGTTGATCTCCAGAAGCAAAGACTCTTTTTCAGATACGGCGCGAAGATATTGAGTACTTTTGGCCTTCAGTTCAACATTCTTGGCCAACAAGGAGAGGACCTCGGAATGGATAACTTTCAACGTCGCTTTAAAATCAGCAGAAAAATTGAGCGACGGAAGTGTCAGTGCTTGCTCCAATTTCGCATTCAAATGCTCAAACTTATCCTTATACCTGATAGCACTAGCTTATCGATGTCCATATCCATGAAGGACACATACTCAAATATCGACTGCTTGAGGAACTTTATATCTTCCTCTGAAGAAGCAGAAGGACAACTGGATAAAGTGGGGCGAGATTTCTTGACTTGCCCCCAAGAAGTGAATAAGTCTTGAATGAAACGCACAATTTTATCAGCATCCTGCAAAGAAAATCGCCAATATTGAAAGTTTCCACTACACTAAACAAAGTGGAGGTAAAGGTGAAGCAAAGATTACCTCATCAGCAATCTTGGAAGATGGCATATCCCCAGCCAAATCTGCTACCTGTGGCTCCACCATTCGTGAGAACTTCCCTTGTCTAAGCGAGAAGACCTTGCCACAACGGGCAGACTCATGGGAACATCTGCAGAACTCAATAGGCAACAAATGAACACCAATAGCACAAGCAAAGGTAAAGCATCAAAAAACGAATTACGTTCTGCTTCGACATTTGGGGGGTCAACGCCCTGGGAAGAAGGTGGCTCGTCCATTGGTTGTGATGAAGATTCTGGGACTGAAGATTTCTCTTTAAGCGTAGTCCCTTCATCAGCTGGTTTGGACGAAGCAGCCCCAGTAGAGGATGATGGAGCAGGAGCTGCCAACACCAAAGCCTTCAAGGGAGAGGTTGAACTTTTCTGAGAAGTCCAAATAAACTATCAACACATGGAAAAGTTTCAAGTATGGAAAGGTATGCTTATGAATAAACCAATTTAATTACCTTCCTCCTGACGATGAGAGGGGTATCATCATTATCATCAGCATCATCCTCCAAAATGGGAGATGCTGAGGCTGGCCGTTTGCAGCTTAGGGCACTTTTGGCCGCAGTGGGCTTGGCAGGAAGAGAAGTCGATGGACGAGCAGGTTGTTTAGCATGAGCAGAAGAAGAGGGACTCCTAATGGACACAGGAGTGACCAAAACAGAAGAGGTGGAAGAAATGTTTGGCTGGTCTAGTGAATGGAAAGCACGATTGACATCAGTCGTAAATAATCTGCGCTTCACTGACGGCCAGAGTCGTTCAAAAAGGGGATGGATGGCACGGCTAGGATTGAAAGGGGCTAATGAAAAGTTGCTCGTTAAAAGGAGATTGCGAGTATTTATAGCCTCTGCCTCCGCCTTATTAATGGTGTGGAAGCGGTCTATCAAATTCTTTGAATAGCAAGGGGGAACAGGCCAAGTTTGGCCAAAACCAAGTTGGCGAGCAAAAAATTGGGGAGCATATATTTCTACCCCAACCGTGGCATTGGTCCCAGTCAAAATATCATGAAACAACTCCCTCCCGATCAAAAACTAAATCCAAACAAACAAGAAAGTGTTCACACTATCCAGAGTGGATGGAGGTTGCACATAATCTGGAGTCAAAAAGGGAGAAAAATGAAAGAAAGAAGGGATTGAATCCAAAGTATAAAAGAATGAAAAAATGTCCCTTCTGGACATATTTACAGGAGTCAGGGGCTCAATGGCTAGCCCATAGCAGCTAGCAGAAGGACTCGAAAAAGATGGAGCACCAAGAGATGGAAAATAGACTCTCAACCACATTTGAGCAAGCCAAAGAGGCCCATTGTCAGTGGGAGATGCACCATTCTTCAATTGGGATTGAAGAGAAGCCATGTCTCTATAGAGAGCAGCTAAAAAGAAAGAACATAAATTCAGAGGCCTACCACGTGCCAATTCATGCGCTATGGGTAAATAGCTCAGGGAGGGCTTTATGCTTGGCACACACAAAATGTATTTACAACGCCAAATCAGAAGAAAGGTCACTCGCTCAGTATGGGAAGACTCAGCGCTCGAGTGGTTATGAAGGGTTTGCAGGCTTGAATAAGACTTGGTGAGGCCTTTACCAAATTTTGGGGCGACACCAGAAATCAAAATACCAGGAAAAATGGTATCGTCCAAAGGTGACAGATTTACTAGGGCCCCAACGTCCCTTAAGGTAATGGACATGGGACCAAGAGGAAAAATAAAAGTATTATACTCAGAAGACCAAAAATTTAAAGCGATTGAAAAAAGTACTGGGTCAAAAATAGGGGGTTGAAGAGAGATTTTTAACAAATCAGAAATCCTAGTATTATCAAAAATTGCCTTAATAGGACCATGGTCCACAAGGCGAGCATGCCATCTACGAAAAACGACATCAGATTTAGGTTAAGTGCGAATACTTCTTTCGCGAAGTGGCCCCAGTGGCAAAGAATTTAGAAACGGAGGGCCCTGAGTACAAGGGAATAGCTGATCGACCGCCGCTTGTTCGATGGCCTTGGCATTGTTGAATAAAGGACCTAGGTAGAACTCACTGAGTTCGACATTGGCCGGTGCAAGGAAGTTCGGAGTTATATATGGCCGAGTAAAGAGTTTCTGAAAGTCTTCGGAAGTGAAGGAGTCACCAAACTGGGATTGTGAAGCAGCCATTAGGGACGAAATAGAGTTTTTCAGAGTTACGTAGCAGAGAAGCAAGGAAATGAACAGTAAATATTGCGAGAGAAGCGCGAAAAAATGAGGCGTGATTTAGTGGTGCAATGAAATAGCGTATTTGGGGGTTATAAGGGTTTGCAAACGTCGTATCTTTTCAGGCTATGGAAGAAAACAATGATTGAAATTCTTGGAAATTTCGAATGTTGCTGGGAAACACAAAGTGAATATGGCAAAAATTAATAATTGGTATTAATTCTGCCATATTGAGGGGTAATTGTTGACACACAAAAAGTTCAGCCCAAGTCGAATAACCCAAGGAATGAAGCCCAACTGGAAGATCCCCAAAAATCAAATAGCCCAAAGAACGAATCAATCAGATAATGCAGGATAAAGGCCCAAATAGGGAAGCCCATGAACGCGGTAATATCATCATCCAAGGTTGCAAGTCGTCCAAGATTTGAGCGAATGAATTGCCATGCAGTCGCCCAGAGCTGTGACCCTGCTTTCGTCCAAACATTCGAGTCGCCCAACATCTTAACAAACATAAGATGTTATGGTTACCCAAAAGTGCACTTAATAAAGCAGTTATTTGGTAGTCCTACCACGTCCCACGATTCAAGGAATTCAATTGAAGACGGTTGAACGACAAAAGTAATGGCAGCAATTAGAGAAGGCAGTTTCATGACAAGTTTGCCACTACAAGGAAAGTGGGTAGTTATAGAGCGATCAAGCAGTTTTTAAGCGGTTGATCACGAAAAGATCATCCAGGAAGTATAAAAAGAAGAAAAGACATAGAGCAAAAGACCCCGAATCAAACACTCTCAAATAGAGAATATGTAACTTTCAATTTCTTAGTTTATATTTAAACACTTCTTTTACAGTAACTCGTGTGCTTGCGTCCTTTGGAGGTATTATGTTTTTATTTTTCAATTGTAAAGTCATCGCCAATAAAAACATCCCTTTTTGGAACTTTGTCTCAAAATGTTTGTTCCTTACACAATCGTTTGATCCCTTTTTAATTGTTAGCGACTAACCCGAGCGAAACAATCTTGGGTCTTCTTCTTCTTTATCATTTAGTGAAATTAGTTGCATGAATATGATGATGGCACGGCATTTTGCCAGTCCTAACTCAGAATCAATAAATTGTAGTAGTTGGGTATTCCTCTTTACCCCCTTCGTAACATGGTGAATTGAATGCAATTACTTTATTCCAATTATTTTATTAAGAAAATTTGTTACAAAATATGGGTGCAACCGTGCAGATAATGCGAGTATTGAATGGGGGTAGGCCAACCCTCTCCTAGTCTATTCTTGGTGTAGAAATAAGTGGTAATCCCTCGTTTCCAGGACAGCTAACGACAAATTTTCGGGGGTAGAAAATAAAAAATGAATAAAATAATTCACACTTTATCATATTACAAATATATAGGGCCTGTTTGGACTCGATTTTTTCACTCAAAAAATTAATTTTTTGACCGTTATTTCACTATTTTAGCCGTCATATTTGACTTCTTTTCTCACAGGTGGATCCCACTTTTCTCTTAACGGTCAAAAAATCAATTCTCAAAATCATTCCAAAAAGCGATTCATGCTTTGGATTTTATTGTTTGTACAGAAATATCTATCATTTTTATGTATAAGTAGTGTAATTTGACAAATATATATCATTGGTTATTTCAAGAATGATAGAAAATAATAAGTACATTAAGCGTAATTTGACAAATATATATCATTGGTTATTTCAAGAATGATAGAAAATAATAAGTACATTAAAATGCTTGCAGTAATTTATCTCTTTCTCTTTTTGTATTTTTATTTTATTTTTCAAATATAATTTAAATTTTAAAAACACAAATTAAAAAACTTAAAAAATATATATATAATAGTTGAAGTGGATTCGAGATGGGGATTGTGATCCAATCCTCCGTCCCTCTTGGAATTTTCAAGAGGTGAGTTCAAAAAAGAGCAAGAATAAAATATTTTTCATTTGCTTATTAATTTTTTTAATATTATTAGGATCCGTTTGATTGTAAAGATGGAATTTTGGTGGAAAAAAACGAATTGAAGGGAATTGAATTGTCTATAATTTGTTTGTTTTAGTGGGAATTGCCAATTAATAGTGTTTGATTTGTATAATTTTTCACTTGAAAAATTTTAAAATAAAAATATTTTTTAGTGTTCGTTCCGCTTTATTTTTCATGAAAATTGTCAATTTAAGGGATATTCACTTCTACAATTGTTTTTAGAATTTTTTTTCCATTACTAAAAAAAAAAAAAAAGATCCAAATATTATTTATATTTTGGTGTTCGTTTGACTTTGTATTACATGAAAATTGTCAATTTAAAGGATATTCTCTTTTATAATCGTTCCTAGCATTGTTCTCATTGCTAAAAAAAAAAGGGTGGAGAATTGATTTTCCTTGTTTTCATGGAAAATGCAACAGGTGAGGTATAAAATGGAAAAGAAATTGTCTAGAAAATTTTACACATCACATACTACAAAAAGTTGGAAAATGATTTTTTTATGGAAACTGTACCATAGCAATTGGAACCTTAATGATTTGAGAATCAAAGTAGATGATGTACCATCTCTATCTTAAATAGAACGAACATTTAATGTGCCCCCGGGGCACTTCTCCACTAATAAAGGACGGGCTCTGTCAAACCTGGCAGATCAGAGGTCGTGAGCTCGATTCATAGGGCTCTTGGAAGGCAAGGATTTCTTGGAAGGCAAGAGAAATTTTAGAAGGCAAGGATTATTCTTGGAAGGTAAGGTGCAAACTTGGATTGGCTTGCTTGGCACTTTGGCAGATCAGGTGGGGAGAGCTCGGACCCTGACTAGTTGAGGCACATCCCGCGATTAACTGGACTGTGTGAAGAGGGGCCGGATCACAAACTCAAGGATTAGTCAAGAATTGGATACCTTGTAAAAAAAAAAAAAAAAAAAAAATTTAATGTTACCATCATGAC